TGCTCCTAGACCCAGCAGGTGCTATAGCTTAGGAAGGTCCCACAGGTGCTACAGCACCAGATATGGTAGATTAGGAGCTAGGCAATCAGCTCACTACCATGGCAGCAGGGCAGGAAGTCCTAGTAGTCCTGCCAGGGCTAGATGCCCCAGGGCAGGGCGTGGACCTATAGGTAATAGGCCTGGGCCAGGAGGCAATGGGTTTCCTGCAGGTGTTAGTTAGCTAGGTAGCCAGGGACTATAACTACACAGACCCAGCAGAGGATGGCCTGGTGCTCAGGGAGGTGGTTATAGAGTGGTGGTGCAGGCACCACAGTTATCAGCATTATAGCATGGTTGGGGCGATCAATCAGTCTGAGTGAATTAATGGTCTTGTGTTCATAGTTCAGGGGTTCAGGGAAAGGGAGGGGAGGGGCATGTATACATGCGTGCGTGTGTGCATGCATGTGTGCTGGCCGTGCTGGTTGGTAGGTCAATCTAATTTGATTTCGATCGGATGATTCATGGGACGGGGGACTGACAATTGAATCAATCATGGATGGATGGTGCCCTGGTCTAATTTAATTTAATTCAATTCCATTCCATTCCATTCGGATTCGATTCGATTCGATTTGATTCAATTCAGGGTCAGGGTCAGGGTCAGGGTCAATTCATTCATTCAATCGATCGATCGATTGATGGTCAATAGGGATGGTTGATGGGGGGGAAGGAAGGAAGGAAGGAAGGAAGAACAAAGCCAGAAGGGAAGGAGGGAAAAGGGGGAAGGGAAGCAGGGGGCCTACCAGGCCTAGTAACTTTGCTTATTCTAGTCTGTTAGTGATATTTCAGGAGGCATCTCCAGAACAGGCGCTGGTGTGCGGATTAATCTATTCAATCTGATCTAGTTGATTGATTGGCCTGTATTGTCACCGGCCAGTACTGGTGCAGACCTGATTAGTCTATATTCTGGCTAGTGGCTGCTATTAGTCACAGGGAGCACAGTGACTAGGCTTGGGTCATCATCAGTGGTTCCAGTCAGTCAGGGGCACCCTGACTGTACTAGGGTAGGGCAGGTTACAGCTAGTACATGGCATAATTCATCATATAGTACAGCAGTGCAGGTGGTATAGACAGCCCTAAACTACATTAGGTGCCTGGGGGCAGGATCCCTATGAAAACCACCCTGATAGGGCTAATAATAGTATAATACCTGTAACACAGCGCCCCAGGGCCCTAAGGGCAGACAGGAGCTGGTTAGTTAGCCTCTAGGAGGGACCCAGGCACGGAATAGAATAGTACTAGAGGCCTGAAGGGAAAATAGGGTGTATAGAGAGTGATTAGGATAGTAGTCACTCCAGGTCAGGAGGCAGTGATATATATCACAGTAGTTTAGGTATACTGCCATAGTAGGAGCTACCATACCTAGCAGGAACCATCTTACAAATAACCAGGCCAGGCAGATCACAGCCTAGTTAGGGGCCTAGCCTGGATGCTTATGCACTGCAGGCATTAATCCTGGGAGCCTGGGGTGCAGTATGGCAGGCAGGGCACCCAGCCTCAATGGCAGCAGGGGCCCGATCCCAATGGGTGCAGGGGGATTTCACCCCCACCCCCTGAGACCCAGGGGGCATCCCTACCACCATTCAATAGGCTGCCATCAGGGCTATCGAATGATATCTCGATCGCGCAGATCGGACGCCCGAGGGGGCGGGGGGGGGGGGGGGGGGCGGATGCGGCCGCCGGGCGAGGGGCCTACTCGATCACATAGAAAAACAGCCGGCGGAAGCCGTGGGACCCTATATGTAGATAGACCCTATAGGCTGGACTTTATACCCCTAGGACTACTGCTTACTATTAGACCTTCTAGTTCCTAGTAAGGTATAGGAGGAGTTACCAAGCACTCCTGTATGAGGGGAGATATAGGAGCTATTAGTAGACTATCTAGATCTATTATAGTCTATCCATCATTACTAGTTGGGACTATGCCTAGCTAGTAATCCTTACCCCTCCCCCTCCTCTGCCCTGACTTCTTTGGGCACTGACTAGACTAATAGTAGGTAAGGTAGTCTACTAGAGGCTTGCCCCCTAGGTTAGCTATTACTACTCTCCAGTGCTTTATTTATAGGTTATAGGATAGATAGCTTAGCTTAGGCTGGGATGGGCTGTGTTATCTAGGATAGGGATAAGGTAGTGATGGTAGAGGTAGGCTATATAGGTAGGGGGTCCTGTAGCTACATGCTAGGGACCCCTATAATCTAGTAATAGTAGTAGTAGCTATTTATAAACTACTATTAGGTGCTGACCTGCCACAGCAGGGGCGGGCAGATTCAGGGATGGTCCTGGTAGTGGTGCTTATAGACCTACCAGGTGCTGCTGCTGAGGTAGGTCCTATATATAAAGTAGTACTAGATACAGTGGATAGGGAGCTAGGGGATCAGTTTACTATTAGGGGGCAGGGGTGGGAAGTCCATATAGTCCTGCTAGGGCTGCACACCCCTGGGCAGCGTGCAGAGCTGTAGATGATGGTCCTGGGCCGCCAGCTGGTAGACTTCCTAGAGATATCACTAGGCTAGGCGGCCAGGGATAGCTACCTTGCACGCCCAGCAGACGATGATATTATAGTTAGGGAGGTAGTTATACAGGGGTGGCATAGCTATAGTAGTGGGGGGGTGGTGATCTAATAGCAGCCAGGTGGCATGGCCATACATCTATAAGTAGTAATATAGGAGGGGCATAAAGAGAAGATAGGTATATTAAGGGCAGGCCGCCCTAGCTAGCAACTTTAAGAGTTAGTTAGGGCGACCCTAGGTCCCCCCCCCCTTTTTTCCTTATTTTCAGGTGGCAGGCTAGGCAGCTAGGAAAGAGGTAGTATTACTTTTTCCTCCTTTTCTATACCTTAGTTATATTATATTTCATTAGGGGATCTAGCAGGATTAATTAGCATTAGGTCCTCTAGTCTATAGCCCCTAGTTGGCCCCATTAAGGGACCTTAGGTACAGCCAGGCCTGGCCTAGATTATAGGCTGGGTAGACTAGTTAATTTACTATTAACTCTGGATCCCAATATGGTCCAGGGCCTGGGACTTTTTTTATATAATCTAGGTTAAGATTTATACCTGTTAACTAATTACTACTACTAATAGGCTAGGGGTGCCTATAGTACTGCATGCAGATTAGCTTATACTATGGCCAGCCACTGCTATTATAGAGATCTAATAGGATGACTAGTCTGGGTTCTTACCAGCCACAGCTACTAGCAACTACCAGAGTAGGACATCACTAGCAGCTGCTGTAGGTCCAGCAGATCCTATGCTTACCACATTAGGCCCTAGGGGGTGGGATCCCCACAAGAACCATCTGATGGGGACCCTGGTGGCGTGGTCGGCCATACATGGTCTAGGAGAGGGATTCCAGTGGGTGAAGGGTGGCTAGGGATAAGATAGGTTACTAGATTACTAGGCAAAATCATCCATTCTGGCTGCTGGGGTGAGGGGACTGCTAGCGCACAGGCCCCTATAAGGTGGGACATGGAGATATATATCTCTGCGGCGGCAGTATATCTATAGGGTGGGATCCTATACTCCAGCAGGTACCAGGTTCAGAGCAGACAATTAAGCAGGGACAGGACCCAGGAGGGGTTAATCAGGCAGTCCTGACAGCTGGGATGCTGCTGCTGGTGAAGTGATGCAGCCTTAGTAGGGAGTGGTGCCCCTGGTAAAACTAGTTAGCAGAGCTGATCCTAATAGGTGCATGCCGGCTGCGCCATCCCCTGAGGGGACCTGGAATCTGCAACTGGTATGGTCGGATACAGGGTAATGAGACAGATGGAATAATGCCCAGATCATCCCTCCCAGACCACAGGGGCCGGGGGCCAGGCCCGATGCCGTCGCCGGATGGGGGGGTGGCAGGCACCATACCAGGAGGCCTGGCGGGGTCCGACGGAGCTCGCACGTAGGCGTCCAAACTGTGGTGACTATGACAACCCGGGACACCTCCTCCAATGAATCAGAAATCGTCATAACGAGCACGGCTTATCCAGGACAGGAGTGGATACGGTAGTCAAGAATCTTTTACGGTGTCTATTATTCGGTATCATTTATCTGTTCCATACGTGCTCATCCTTGGATGAATTTGGTTGATATTCCTTGCAAATTCAGATAAGAGCTATGTACAGCGATAATGGTGATAGTGACACCCAGGTTGGACCATATTCCTTCTCGATTTAAGTATTATTACCAGGTAAAATATAGTACTATGTTGTTTAACTGATACTGATAACATATTAACGTTAGCTCTAGCTGATGCGGATTGAAATTCACTACTACAGAATCGTTCCTACGTAAGACTTGGAAATCGTGGACGGACTGATTAATAAATCACATTCTGTAACTATATAATCAAGATAGTAATTAGTTATGCAATTTCACAACTATTTCGTTACATGGCCTAGGCCCTATCACCTCACTACCTCTCTATTTCTGAGCCCTAGCGATGCTGGTTTACAATGCGAGTGATTCGCAGATAAATTTGATAGTTTCCTACATATCACTCAGCTACGCCTGGTGCATAAAAACGGGCGACAATTCGGCCCGGGGGACCCAGTAGCCTGTTGATTTGAACTCCTGATATTTCGTCGTGAGAAGCGCAACAATTAACAACCGAAGCTTTAGCCCGTGTAATTCTGTGCGATGGAAAGGTAGAAAGAGAAAGAGCATTAAGATAGCAGTAACACCCATACAGTCACTACTATATAGCAGACGGACAAGGACTACTCCAGCTGCCTGGCAATAACCTCCTAAGATCTATATTACTACTCTTACGCCCTAGCGGGACAATTATTGAAAACTTTTGCCTTCTATGCGATGTACTTTGGTGTATTGTTGCTGACTGTCCTAATCGCAGGCAGAGGGCATGCCAGTGGTATAACATTACCACGAACGGAAATGGAGGAAACTGGGCGAGGGCGGTACCGGAGGTACCGTAGAGCACGAGCGAATCCTCGCCGAACGCAACAAGGAGCAAGGCATGTGGGCTGTTTTCAAAGGTCGAAACTTGATCCGGTTTGTTATTGCTGGATGGCCCAAGATCACGCAGCAGTTTGTCGGGTTATCTGTGTTCAATACCTATGCCACATACTTCTGTAAGGCTGTTCCCCCTACCTTCGCGCTTCGCAGCTGACCTTTCAGTCCAATATGCTGGGAACAAGAATCCGTTTCTGGTGACCGTCATCCTTTCGTGTGTCCAGCTCATCTCCATGCTCGCCACAGCCACATTGACCGATCAAATCAGTCGTCGTCCGTTGACAGTGTATCCCTATGCTGTGACCGTTCTCTCAGTGCTGTGTCTGGGTATTATCGGCTGCTTCGACTACAAGACGACAGCACTCAGTTCTCTGCTGGTTCGTTTTAATTTTAAACCCCTCGACCCCCTTCATATGTATTTCAGTATAGTGATGAGATGAAGATCTTCTTTGCCTGTCTGGCGACCTTCTCCACAACTGGTGCGTCCGCCATCGGATGCGCCTACGCAGCCGAGATCCCTCAGCAACGGCTCCGCGCTCAGACAGCCGCCTGGTCTCTGGCTTTGTCGAATATGATTAGCATCATGCTTAGCTTCTGCACCCCGTTGATGATCAATCAGCCACCTACTAAATGGGGCCCAAAGACCGGCTTCTTGTGAGTATTCCTGGCTGCTGCAACGGACAAGCTCTAATCATCGGCAAATAGGTTTGCTGGTACTGGTACCATATCTGTGATTATTGCCTGGTTTATCCTTCCCGAGGTAACGCGTCGCACACCGGGTGAAATTGATGAATTGTAAGTGGCATCTATCGATGGCCTTCCTTTCGGACGTTTGAATATTATCTGACAGCTGGGTTGTAGGTTTGAGAAGAGGGTCAATCTGCGGAAGTTCAAGGGCTATGTCACTGATGCTCGAATCACTGCGGATGAGTACCGCAAGCAACAGGAGTCGGCTTGATGAGCCGCTCGTGGATGAGTTTCCCTCGAAGGCCGTATGATTTGCAGTGGTATCAGTTCGCGGGCCAATTTATCGAACTGAAATGCGGATCCTAATTCTTTGTAGTGTAGTTTAATGCAAACTGAATACCTATCAGCCAGTAAGCCTCAGTGCTCCTTCTACGGCCTCTTCTTACCCTTAAGAATGACACTCCATACAGTGTCTCCTGGACTAGCATGGTGGACCAAAGAAATATGCTTTCCCTGCCGCCGGGCATTTTGGGTGAGCTTTTTTTTTTTTTTTGCAATGGATGGTTCCACGCATTATAACCCCCAAGCTTAGGACATTTCGGCGCAGACCATATTGCTATTGTGGGAGTTAAGAAGAAGCATAGAGACAACGGAATAGCAATTTAAAGTTCAACTTCAGCTTCTGTACGACTTTACCATCCATCTGAATTCACAAAGCCAAAATCAGAAACAGATTACACTATCTCATCTCCCGCCAATGATCACACTGTCTTCTTAGCCACCCAAGCCACCATTCAAGTCCGTACTGGACAATGTGACTTACACGCAATTACTTGCAGTGCTTGTGAACGCTCCATCCAACACAGATAGCTCCCTCGTAGCAGTTCCATGGAGCGCGCCCAGCAGTAGCACAGTCAAGGAACTATCTCGTCAGCCACGTTCTTTACCCCCCGAGCAAAGAGTAACTCACTTCGTCACCGCACTTCCAGAACGGAGCAGTACCGACGCAGTAGATGTACGACCAGGCGCGCTTGCCATACTTGGCAATCAGCTTGGCGAACTTGATCGCGAGCTTCCACTTGGGCACGCGCTTCTCCAGGTCCTCCTCGTCGTCCTCCATATCCGCAAGGTTGACTTCCTTGCCCTCGGCATCGTAGAAGGTCGCAGCTGTGATTGTTAGCTTGTGTCTGCGGAGTGGTTGAGGGAGGCAATGGACGTACTTCCTTCAGCGGTCTCGATGGCCGTGACTTCGAGGGTGCCGTCGACGCTGAAGAATTCCATCTTCTTCTTGCCATCTTCGAGGACGGAGCTCACGACGTTGCCGTAGGGAGTGGCAACAGTGCTGTTGTTGTCGCTCAAGGCATCCTCGCGGGGCATCAGGGAGGGGTGGCCGATGGTAGAGGCCAGGGCGAGGTGGCCGCAGAGGGCCACCATGAGAGCGTTGACGACGACGATGAACTTCATATTGAAGATAGTGGAGCTGTGATGCTTGCCGATTGGGCTTTTTTGTTTGTTTGCTTGCTTGCTGGTCCGCTGAGTTGCTGTTGATTCTTTCAATTCTCATGGATGTTGAGGGGTTTATATACCTTTGCTCCCTCACAGGAAGACCTCCTCGACTGAAGCGTTCCTCATCACGGAGACAACTTCGCAGTCGTCGATGCCATTGCCATTGCTAATTCCGACGTCATGAGAATGAGGCCGATGGCAAGCGAGCCAGAATACGATGCAACCTCGTATCGTGCTTCAAATCCCAGCATCTTCTTCACCTGCGGAATCAGGCCAGTGGAACAGGACGCTTGGCCTGCAGAGGCCAATCCCTCCGTCCCTCGTATTGGACTTGGCATCTTGATTATCTGCTGCCAAGCCGTTCCTGGTCGGCTATAAAAAGCTCCGAGGCTGTGTCTGTCCCCAGCGCCAAGGGAGCCAAGGCTTCCCACTCGCATCTGCGTTCGAGTTCCTGTATCGTCCGTCTTGGCGGCTTGGGCTTCTCAATTGGGAGGTATATTGCGATTCCATGGAATGAGGGCACCGAGGGTGTATGGGATGAAGCTACTGCTCGTATTCTACCACTTTCCTCTCTCCTGCCAAGGCCTAAAAAGGACGCAAGCGATGCAGGCTTATTCGGATTCCCCGGCGGAAGCAGTTCCAGTGAGGGCTTTGGCCAATGAAGCCATTTCTCTTGGACTCGTGTGCAGTGGGGCCTCGGGTTAATCCATCCGCCGCAACATAGAATTCAGTTCCATATGAAGACCCAGATACGAGAGCTGATATTAACTCTTACGCAACGGATAGATATCTATTTAGTGCTCCGCGTCAGGGCCAATCGTTCTTCCCTCTTCAGCTGTGGTCCAGGAGGACTCCTCGTCGAGATTGCTTCAACGGTCCAATAGCTCATCAACCTCGTGCGGTGCCGTATGTATTGCCTCGTCCACATTTGGCTGTGCCCCGCCGGTACTGACACCGGACCGTGGTGTAGGCATAGGACTGGGGGAAAGACGAGGTTCATGGAAATAAGCTGACTGGAGGTACTTGCCTCGCGTGTCCGGTTGTATCCATTGTGACTTGACCTGCATGGAGGTTCCTGTGGTCCTCGCGGAAGGCTCGGGATATCCATCCCTGGAGCTAAAGACATTTCCAAGTCATTATTTGTGTTCTTCATTCTATGCTTACACTCGTCGAATGATACTCTCCTGCCCCGGGGATTGACACCCGCTTCCGTTACTATTTTCATCTTGCGCTTCGCGCAGCAGCAACAATGCCACAGCTAAGGCATGCAGTAGCTGATGAATGGCATGGACGAGCTCATCCAAGGCTCGCGCGAGTTCGGGGGCTTCCCTGTCCAGACCGAGATCCCGACTGGTTCTACGACTATTGTCGGATTCTCATTATTTTCAATTCAACGGAGTCGGACGGCGGGTCGAGGGATATTCATATCTCAGTTTTGCTTTTTGCATTTCATGCAGGAACTTCTTTGTTCTCTATGTCAAGGTACTTGTCGTTGGTTCCCCTGGTGAAATGCGGTCCAGAAGGGATCACGATGAAGTCTGCCAGAATTGACTGCAATTATTCAGTAGTAGCAGATGAATCTAGAGTCTGGCCATACCCTGAAGCCTCTTTCTCAGCCTCTTTTCAAATTTTTGGCCTTATTCTTCTCATATATCGCAGTTGCTTGTTTCCACAGTGTAATAAACCCATTCATAAGCATCCGTGGGCTCTGTTCATCATCCGTAATAGCAATAAGCGTGAATTCCCTTTGTTGAAAGCTGTATGTCTACTTTTCTCTGCCCTACCGCGCATTGATGACGAACTCCATGAAACACTGCAATGTCATCTTCAATCTCGAGATTATTCCGCAACCTCACGCGGTGGAAACAACAGCTTCCCCATCCCTCTTCTATCTCTGTGGTCCATTTACCCCTCCGCCGCAACGCCAACTCCGTAAGTGTGTAGAGAGCGGCTCTGAACCGGTGATGGGAAGGGATTCGGGACGAGGCTGCTGCTTTCCGCCATGGCTTATATGCTTTCTTCGAGACATGCATTCAAGCTCACCAGGCGGGTGTGCTGGCGATGATAGTGAGCAATGGCCGCTGATTTTCAGTCCAACAGAGCCTTGCCAAGGTGTTGCTGTTTGCATAGAGAATGTTTGCATAAGAGAGACCGACAAAAGGTAGCATCGGCTATTTTGCCTGTTGATATAGGATGCATAATCTGTAATCCATGTTAAGTAATATGTACGAGAATCATGTTATATTTAAGTGCTTGTTCTGTATCTCCATAGCTTTGTATAACTCTGAACTTCCTATCTCAGTATATACCGTCTCTGAAAGGTTGCATCCTTGATTACGGGCCCCATCATTGCGGGCAGTATCAGCATTGGTGGCCCGACAGCGAGCAAAAGAACAGAATACAGATTTACGAGTTTTATATGCATAACCTGTCGGGCTTTCAGTCGTATCACTTGGTCTATGTGGATGAGTCTATGTGATAAACGAATTGGGTTCAGACGGATAGGCTGGTCTCCGCTAGGCACGGCACTATTGTAGGTAGCCGACTTCTATCGTGACCGGCAGTACTAGATACTGTTGTGATGGTGTGATCTGAGGTATCTCACCAATTGACCATTGGCTCCGCCCAGGCTCCATGGGTGAACCCACAGATTACTAGGGTGAATGCATCATGCAATAAACACTTATCTAATACCATGAGAAGCAATGCATCGAATGCACCGACTTGATCGAAGGCGGACCCATTGAGATGACAATGTAAGGGTTTCCTAATGCTGATACTTCACCATTATAAATAGCAGTAGAGATACCTCCATTTGAGGGATAGACTTAAATCATCCCATTGATTGCTAGATATTACTTATGTCCGTTTTTTCTATTGTTCATTGAAAATATTAAGAGACACTGCCCGCATATTGCTAAGATAGAATTGTTCTCTCTCGTATAGTTCAGGCTCTGTAGATGCTGCAGTCGTCGAGGGCGCGCAAGGATTGCCGAGGATGTTCTGAGGGTCGTAGTTGGACATAACAACAACATGAAAGGATGTCTGCCCTACTCAGAAGAGTGGGCAATACAGTAGATTTATGCCAAACGACCTCCATCGCGAAGGCAAAGGAACTACCCATGAAGTGAAAGCCGACGTCAACCCAACCAAACAACGACCGCAGACACCGAAAGTGGGAAGTGTGACATACAATAGACAAAGGAAGGGCTGCCAAGAGACGCAGAAGGTCAACGAGGGTAGACGGATGCTGAAGCGACGACAAAGGACGCCTCCCATGCGGACGCAGGAAGGCCAGGAGCTTATGTATTAATTACTTTGTCTAGAAGCCTATTAGATTGAGCTACGGCCTAAAACTTATAATGGCTACTAGCCGCGGGCCGTAGCGGGGTTCCGGCGGGGGCAGTACCACCCATCTATATATTAAAATGAATGAGTTACATATTATTTCAGACCATTTGAGCCTGTCGGTTGCTCGATTTGTGTCAAACCGGCACTTGGCATCCTTGATTATATATTAGAGGAATAATGGTAGAATAGAACGTAGATATCGGTATGCTAATTGTTGTAATTTCTGCTCAACGGGGAGAGGGGCCCTGATGCTCACTCATATTTCAAGAAACCTCAGCAACAACGCGGTGAATGTTTTAGGGTCTTGTAGAAATCTGATAAGGACGTTAGCATGTAAGCCATTCTCGCATACGAAACGTACTTACGCGAAGTGGCTGACGCTGGGTAAAAGGGCCAAACCCGAAGCAGGGATCTGAGACCAAGATCTGATCAGCACGATGACATCTCCAAGGCCCCTCCGTTTTGTGATTTCTTACCCACTCATGAAGGACGGCAGGTACGGTCCGATTCACCACTTCTTCGCTGTCTCCATCCAGGATCCATACCAGAGGAGCCGACTGGTTTGCATATAGCGTCGGTATCCGGCCAAACGATCCTTGATCCCAGACCGGCAGGGTAGCCCACATTTTGTTCATCTTGCGGGACAGTTCCGGCCAGCGTTCCGGATGTGGATTGAGTCGCTTATACTCCCGCTCCGTGCGCTGGAGATAGGCCTTGAAAACCGGGTTAGTGCCGACCGTCGTGTTTCCGTTCGAGAAATCGTAGCTTCCGCCAAAGGAGAGTAATCGATCCAGAAGGGAGGAGTGGTTCATGGCGATATCAAAGCCAATGATCGCACCATCCGACCAGCCAACCAAGGCGACTTTGGGGATCTGAAAATGATCCAGGACCGCGAGGACATCGCCCGTCATCCGATCGTATGTGATCGGCCCCGATCCGCCCGTGGACCGCCCCTGGCCTCGAGAATCGATCGCCATCAGGGTGAAGGGCAAGTCGAGGAGGGCCCCGATCTGATGGCCAAAATAATCGGAGTTGGCGAAACCGCCGTGCAGGAACAACACCGGTATCTGCCCGCAATCCAGTGTGTGGGAGAGCGGTTGCCCGTAGAAACCGTACCAGATGGCCGTCTCATTGTCGACGTTAACGTAGCCGCTCTCGATCGCCGTGGGCAGGGAGGGAGTATCCGGCAGGGTCGCCCATGGGGGGACATACGGTTTCGTGAGAACAGACTGATCTCCGACGCAAATGCCGAGCAAAAAGGCAAGGACGCCGATCCGAAAAATCCGCATTTTCGGGGTCAGATACTTGCCACAATTTCGTATATTATAAACGATTAAGCCAAAGGATTCTGTGAGGTTCGCGGTGGCTACCTAGCCCTTACATTCTCAGTACTGGAGACGTGCGCTTCGCACGCTGTGGCCTGAAACTAAACCGAGTGGAAAATGATGCAGAGTTGGGAGATAAATAGGCAAATTCGAGCGCTTGGGTTGGATCTCGCTGTCCTGGCATCTTTGTCGCTCAGAGACGAGGCAAAATAACCGCCAGACCAAAAATGTACCATCATTTTCCAACGGCAATCTTTTCACTGGAGGTTCGATCATAATTACATATTGGATTGAGTTTGAAGGGAAACATCCAATCAAACAATTACTCGGAGTTTCACCACAAACAGAGTTTCATCATGAATCGCTTGCGGTCGAACACAAAGCGAGCGTTTCCGAGATCACTCATGGAAATTACATCTATAAACTTAAAACTAAGTCTGAGGATGAGATCATTGATGTTCTTGCCGATGTTCTATGAACGTCAACATCGTCTAGACATCAATGTCATACCAAACGCGATCCGACAGCTCTCGATTCTTCGCTACATCCGGCAAACGGTCCCGCCTGAAAATCGCTGGTCCCCAATCTTCACGCGCTGGTTGGATGGTCTGGCGGCCAAAGTTGCAGATCTCGGAGGAGATCCGACTCGTGTTCTCCCATCGCCCACTGGGGGTGATCCAAAGAAAGAGTGTTATGTCAGAACTGGGTAAGCTTGGTTTGGCTTAGCGAATTCGAATTCCCCCACAAAAGTCATTTTGATTTCTATGTAATACATTATCATAAAGTTGCCTGTCTTTCAGGCTTTTTGTAATTCAGAGTTGAATGTCATCCAATTGGCCATCCCTATGTATGGGAAATTCGATATACCTCATATCCGACAGCTAAGAATGAGAGACTGGTGATAACTATTGCCCACTACCTCAAATTTCTATCTACTCGGAATAGCAGTATTCCATGCATGGCCCTGATGGATTGGAAGTTAATGCAGGCAAAATGATTAAATACTTATTCCATTCACTTATCGGCCACTGCAGTAAGCTAATCCTACACAAAGTCTTTATTTTAAAATAAGTATTATAGAACGGTGCTGGCCAGATACGGATTGAAATTGGAATTTTGATCCTAGAATAACCCTTTCTGAAACTTCTCAAGAGTTGGGGTTAAGGGTAAGCAGGTGGAAGCATCTATAGCTGACCCGCCCAGGCACACTTAATGGTTTTCGGGCCTACATTATAAATTTTCAGCAGAGGAGACACTGGCTCGGAAAAGGCTAAAGCCTTCCACTTATTGGTAGCATGGAGCGCGGCTTAACTATTACAAACTAATGCTCTTTCCACTAAGGGGGAATTAGTGACAGTAGCACGCAAACTCCATTAATGCAATCAAGTATA